TACTACTACTACTACTACTACTACTACTACTACTACTACTACTACTAAAAGAGGCTGTAAAATTACTGTACTGGCTGCTTAGTTTTTTTTCAACTAATGACACACAGATGTTGCAATTTTATTTACGTGGCAATGCAATGTGGGTAAATGACATAGAAGTGTTGCTCCCGCATGAGCTCCATTATCTTGATTGTTAATTTTGGACATTATCTGACATTCAGCCCTGTAATTTGAACTAGAGCACAATAAAAGAGAGGAGAATAGAGAAATGACTCAGCTTTGCATTATGTCCAAAGCTAATAACATTTGATACAAAGTTAATATGACATTAGCTCCAGGACTAATAGAGTTAGCTCCAGAGCTAATAGCAGCCCAATAAAGTTGTCAGGTCATCTGGATGGTTTCTTTTTTGTTGTTGTTGTTGTTGAAACGTTTTGTCCTTTATCCAAAGGACTTCATCAGTCCGAGAAGCCACAACAAGCTCAGTCCTACAAGTAGCACACTCACATAGTGGGCCAATCAGTTTGATAGTGATAAGATGGTTTCTGGAGTCTGCCCTCTCCCCTGTCGACTCCTCTGAGGCAGCCATAGCCAAAGTGGTTCAAAACATCATCTGTTTGTTCATCATCATCATCATCAACAACAACACAGAAACCACCATCAAACTGGTTGGTCCACTATGTGAGTGAGCTACTTGTATAGGACTGAGCTTGTTGTGGCTCCTCGGACTGATGAAGTCCTTTGGATGAAGGACAAAATGTTTCAGTAAAAAATAAAGAAACCATTCAGATGACCTGACTTAACTTTGATGGATATTTTACCTGGATTATTGAGCATGAAGTTTGATAGTAATATAGCATTAGCTCCAACAATAACATTTGATCCAGAACTAATACATATGTTAGCTAGTTATGACATAGCCTCCAAAACTGATGTATCTACGGTGTTAGCGGCTGCGCTAAAAGCGTTAGCTCCAGACCTAAATATATTCACGGTGTTAGCTCCAGAGCTAAATATATTCACGGTGTTAGCTCCAGAGCTAAAAAAATGAAACATCACAAGTTGATCACATTTGGTTGTTCTGACCCATATATTGTAATATATACAAAATACAACTTTATTGTCAGATGTCATAACTTTTTTGCCTTTACTTCTTGTGTTTTACTCTCCACTACAATTGATGTACGTCATCACCCAGAGTGCATTGCACTGGTAAAATAATGGTGACGTTCTTAGGTGAAAAACGTAATAAATATCTATAATTTTTAAGAAATTAGTTTTCATGCATTCACAAACAACAACTTTTAGTAGAATAGAGAAATAACAGCATAGTAAATCTAATATGTGCAAGTATTCGGAGATCCCTTTAAAAAATGTCAAAATAGGCTAGAACGCTAAATTTAGACGTTTTGCTAATATTTTGCATTGATTAGGGGAGAATAATTCCATTTACGCATTAAAGGTGATGGTCAATCATCATTCCTTCAAGAAAGACTGTAATTTCTTCTGGAGCTACAGATAGAATCATGACATGATCAATGCATTTTTTTAACAGTTATTAGCTTGTAAATGGCAATAAGGCTGCAATCCTGATCTTTGACCTTTGTATGCAAAGAAGAGGTTTATACCTGGCTCAGTGCTGGCCATGCCAGAGACGTGACCATGTTATCAGTGATGAGAAAATTACAGTTACATTGTGTGTACAGACATGTATGCTTCTGTCACCACAAACAGCCTGCTCCTGCTTGAATTTCTGCTTAGGGAGGGTAACACAAGCCCCCTTGTAGTGTGCTGTCCACCAGAGGGCAGAGCAGAACCTCTCACCACCAAGGAGCAGGGAAGCTACAGCTCAAAGACTTCTCTCAGTAAGTATTTAGACATATTTTTATGGGAAAACAGAATTTGTTTGGAGTTATCCATCACTCTTATGCAGATGAAATAGTAAACATGATTTCAATCAGCAGTGGGCTCAGAATGGGACAACTTTTTTCTAAATGTTGCTCTGCAAGACCATTCCCCACTCTCCTCTGCATCTGCAGGACAAAGAAGTCCAGCTCCGATGCCAGAGGAGCAGCGTGAACTGTTTCACCATGGGAAAAACTCTGCGGGCCTCACCGTGGAGAGGAAATACGGGAGCAGCAGTTTGACAACACCGGCCTCCTTCCTCCATATCCCTTCATACTGGGACTGTACTGGATCATCTCATTAAAGAGTCAACCTTCCACAGAGCAAGCAGAAAATAAAGTCGCAGGGTTTTAAATAGCTTTAGATGCACTGCTTCTTTTCTTTTTCAATGTTACATAGCTTTACAGAATGAATGTAACAAATGTTTGTCGTCTCCATGACAAAATCAGGCTCTAGTGCTCCAATAAATTATGTAGCAGACTATAAAAAGCATGATGTGGATGACTACATGATAAATGTAATGCACAGTAGCAGTCACTACACCACAACTTGTATTAAAAACAAGTTAGAGGTGAATATACTCAAAAAATGCAGTGAAATTACAGATAAAAAAAAAGATGTATATAAATATGTATGCATATAAATACTAGAATCAAACTGGCAAAATCTCCACCCTAAAAAGAGGTATTATTTCAAATTGCAGGCTAATACATGGTTATAACATTTGTATATTCTTTTTATACAATAAAAACAACCAAAGGTATCAGACTCCAACTTTGGTAACCTTTATAATCATATCCATTGTTGTAAAAAAAACTGTAATGTACCTTTAGTACCTAGCCGTGCACAATATGCTGTAAAGTCCCTCTGAAAACTTCATTACCCAAAATGCAGTGTTTTTATGGTGAGTACACGACGACGTTGCCTACAAAATAAAAGTATTCAAAAAATGACAACAATTTGAAGTCAATGGTGGTCTAAAAAAACAAACTTTAAAGTTAGTAAAATAAGTGCTATGTTGTGAGATACTAGAACATTTTTAAATAGACGGAACATTTGAGTTAAATAGGCCATTAGTTGGCTTCAGACAACCTGTTTATAAATTCACTGTCTTGTTTTGAAAAGCTGTACCGGAAATCTGGTGAGTTTGTAGATTAGCTTAACCGCACTGATGCTCCTGTCGCGGATCGGAAGGATGCGGCGAAGTAGATGGAGGAGGAGGAGGAGGAGGTGAAAGGCTGGAAGGCGGAGAGCAGAATGAGCTGGTCGGACGAGCGGAAGGATGCGGATTACGGGGGCCTACCGGTCAGTCTCCCGTCCGACGGAGGTTTCGGTCGTTTGAAACAAAGAAGTCTGGAGGAAGTGAGTCCGGCCTGCGGGTTGTTGACGCAGAGGAGCCAGTGATCCGCGCGTCGCCTCAGATTGACACTGAGGAGGGCTCGGCGCCGATAAGGATGATTTTAGCTCTACTGCTTCTTGTTTGATAGGTTAATTTAACGCTCTTAAATTGTTTTTCCTGCCCGCTGTGTCTTTAACATCAACAGAAGAGGATAAATCAAAGTAACCCCCATCCCTGTTGTGTCGAGGGTCAGCTGCCCTCAGAGCTTTAGCCGTTATTTTAGCATCCTCAGCACCTGATTCTTCCCTCGTGCCGCTTCAGACTGGATGTCACCCTGAGGGGAGCGCCTAAAACTCATAAAAATACAAATAAGTAACAAAATAACCGTGTTTCAACATGAGCTGCTTCACTGGGATATTCATATCGACGGCTTTATGTCTGCTTAGCAGCGGCCAGTCCGCCGCACCTTATTCCTCGGGCCTGTCTCGAGCCATCCGCGTGCCACTGCGGCAAGGCGCTCGCGACAAGCAATCCCCGCTGCCACCTGCTGCTGCCTTCAGTGAAGAAGGCGGCGCGAGCGGGAACCGCAGGCGGAGAGCAGCGGCGGAGGGCGGGGCCAGCTTCGTGGGCATGATTGACAACCTGCGGGGGAAGTCGGGCCAGGGGTACTACGTGGAGATGGCCGTGGGTTCTCCTCTACAGAAGGTAGGTGATTTATTTACTTATTAATTAAGTAAAACTGTTTTTTGCGTTTTCTTTTCTTTTTTAGTTATGGACCAGGGGTGATTCTAGAATCTTCCCCAGGGGTGCTTAGCCCCCAGTGTAATGACTCTTGGCTTGAACAACTTGGTGGCCATTCGCATCAGAAGCATTAATAATATAAAATAGATAAAATATCTCAGAAACCACTGGACAGATTTTAGTGAACGGCCAGGAAACAATTGTCGGATGTTCAAGTGATCAATCTTTGGAGTCAACCTGAATCAAGATGGCCGCCACAGTCAACAAATCAAAGCTCTGTTTTTCCGAATCTAAATTTAGGCAAACTTTGTATTCAAACAGTTAAAAAAAATCTATCTGATTTTATCTTGGTGTTGCATTAATGTCCACGCTTTAGCTACCCAGATTAACCCTCCTGCTGCCCTTGGGTTACATGACCCAAAGGAGACCTCTTGGATCATTTTGAACCAAGAGCAGCAGGAGGGGTTAACAGAAAACTGAACTTGCAACACACAGACAGCTTGCTTTAAAGGTAAAGATTCAATATTCTGTATGGGAAATGTTAAACTACTTAAATATGCGACGTGATAGTCCAGTTCTGTTGACCCCGCACTGACAGAGTTGGTGTGTGTGTGTAAATGAAACCAGTAATTCTTCAAGGTGAGGACTGCCAGCTGGGTGCAGATGCCTGCGCTGGTCAGCATACAGGGAGTGAGCGCAACACAAAGGAGAGGTCAACTTGTATGAGAACGGAGAGAGAGAGACGAGACGAGACGAAAAATGTGAAACTGAAATAAATGAACAGAAGTGGTGGGTTGGTGAGAAAAGGAGATGGGTGAGGACTGAGTGAGAATGGAGAAGGTGTTGGAAGGATGGAGAGTGGGTGTTAGACAAAGAAGATACAGGGATCACAGTTTCAGGAGGCTTCGACTCGACTTGCCACAGGAAGCTTGAAGAAATAACAAAAACTTTATTAAGCAAAACAGAAGGCTGACGTGTAGACTGGATGTGACATGTAACACGCGGCGTAATGTTCCACTGAATTCTGGACTGAACAGTGACGGGTTATATGGTCTGAGAGGACAAGGAGACGGAAGACAGCTGAGGTAAAATGAGACAGGGCGCAGGTGAAAGTGAGCGTGGCAGGACCCAGGGGCAGAAAAACAAACTGGAACAAAGTACTGAGCAGAGGCAAGGAGTAAACTAATATAAAAACCAAACATCACAAGAACAAACATGAAAATAAAATTCTAAACAGAAAACCAAACACTACGCAGGAGCAGAGCTTCGTGTACATATCCTCACGGAGCAATTTGAGATAAGTTGACCTATCCAAGGCCAAGCGGGAAAGCCATATTCAAATAAACAACAATTGTTTTGGGGCAGGTCGACTCTACTGATTTCATGTCTGCTTTCATAGTTTCTGCTGGTACACTCAATGGTGAATCCAAACACAGATTTGTGGTCATTCCGCTGGTCTGTGCTTGTAGCCTTCTCCAAGGTCGATTCCTTCATGCCAGCGAGTTCCAGGCTCGTAAAGCATGTGAGTCTGAGCGCTTGAAGGACGGTACAATCCTTCATATCAGGCAGGCAGCCTCACCATTTCCAAAAACTGCTGCCGACACGTCCTAATTTGTCGATATCTCAGGTACCCGCTGATTTCAAAAAGCAGATAATCCTGTTGTCGTAATCCAATTATGTACACGTCGTGTGTCTCTTCAGGGCAAGAGGGTTCTCCTGCACCCTGTTTTCTCATTGAGAAATTTTATCAATTGCATTGAGGCCAGCTGATCGGATCCATAACTTACAATTCGGAAGATGTGTAAAGAGAGGCTCTGAGAGATTCACAGGACAAGAGCAAAAGCAGGAGGGAGCCAGGAGAGGGAAAGAAAGCATCCGTCTTCGTCAAGAGCAAGTCGGGAGAAAAAAAAATCATGAGAGGGGGAGGTGGTTTCTCAGCATTTTAAAACTTGAAGGAAAGTCCATCAATTGCTTCCTGTCAACCCAGAGTTTTAGAGTGTGTCCATCTTTTGTCGAGAAATAATGTTTTCGCCATTTTGGTCCAACCTTGAACGTAACGCTCTGCTCAGTGTTGCAGCGTTGGCATGTCGCACGTGAATCGTCATATGTTTGTATCACACCATATTTTACTCAATATCTGTAAAACTCACTGTGATGTCTTCTGTAGACCAAGGCTGAGTAGCTGTGGTGGCCATCTTGAATTGTGTTAACTAAAAGTTATTCAGGTGAATGTGTGCATCCATTGATTACTTTCTGAAAGTGTCATTACAGTTCTTTTGGAATTCATGAAATCTTTTGCCAGGAGAGTTGATTCTGTTAGGTAAGGACAAAGTTTTAAACATAAATCGGTAAGCCCTCAGAGTTTAAACTAGGGATCAGTCTCAGCTACTACCACACCACGTTTAAAATCAATATCTGTAAAAGTGATGTGTTTTAGTCATTTTATTATGTTGTGGTTATCGTGAGTCAGATTAACTCCGAGAGTTAAACAAAATATTTTTATTAAAATTGATTCATTAGATATTTTGCTAACTGTACAAACAAGCACACACGAGGCAAAAACATTACCACTCTGCCATTGCCCTCAGCAGCGAGCAATAACAAAACTCTGTGGAGAAACAATCAGGGAGACAAAAGCCTTTAAAGTGCTCCGTCACTCCAGCTCTGAGAGATGCTGAAGCTTGTAGGAGATTTTTCTGTGTGGCTCAGATCACCACGGGGACAAGAGCCTCTCTCCAGCCCCATGTGCTGTCTGAAACTGGGCTTCATTTACCGATAATAAAAATTCTGCTGAACTCTGTCAAATGGTTCAGTTTGAAGGAGTTTACTCCAGTAGTTCTCCAGATTAATTGTTATTCAACTTGACGTCTGGGTATGCACTCAATATAAACAAAGCACACCAATCTGCATACTCTAGTAAACAAATCTGAGCATAAATACCAAATATCAAAATTGTTGGACTATTTCATCCTGTTTTTGACCTTTTTTTAGTGGGTTAACAAACGTGGTGGTTGGCATCTGGTCAGAAACTATGATGTTTAATTTAGGGAAACATTATCCAGTAATGTGAGAAAAATACTGTGCAGATTATTTGATTATGTCGTGCATTATTTTGACTGGTGTTCATGCTGTTGCAGTGAGTAGCTTCAAGCGTGTCAAGAGGACTTTTTATTTTCATTTGTTCGGTTTGTTTTGACATTATAGAGCAGGCGGTGTCACACGCTCATGGTTCAACACTGCATTCACCGCAGCATCCAGGACAAGCCTGAATCCTCGCAGCACTGTGACCATCGATTTTTAAAAAATCAATATGAATGCAGTTATGGGAAGAAGAAAAAAAATCTTAAGTTTATGAGGTTCATGTCAAAGATCTGTGGACTCTTAGTGTCGACCCAGACGCTTTGTGAACTGAATACAAAACATTTAATACTTTTGTGGCATGTTTTTAGACTTATTTGCTGAATGCAGCATCGTGGAAGTGACCTTAAGTCTTTAATGACAGCGCTAAGCTGTGTAGCTTTGTGCTGCAGTGACTTCTCCGTCTGTAGTGACGGGGGGTGGGGGCAGATATAACGGTTGAAACAGACGAGCTCTCATCCCAGACAGGATAGGAAAGCAGAGAGAGTGCAGGGAAAGGTCTCTGTGTTTCAGGATGCAGCCTGCGATGCTTTATGCATTACTGAGCTCGATGACTCGGTTCTGGACAGTCAGCAGGTTTCTGTCCCAGGCAGGAAGACAAAGCATTATGAGTGATGGCTATGGTGTTTTACACAAAGCATTACACAGGCTGTGAGTGTGGACCTGCTTTGTGTGTGTGTTAGAAATAAAGGAGACAAAGTCGGGATTTATTCTGGGCTGCTGGGCTCGGCCCCTGAGACGGTATCACTCCTCAGGATATTTTAAGAGCCAATCCATTATTGAACAGCTTGCTTTGTGTCTATGGCCGTCTGCCTGGACGCCTCCTCGCCGCTCCTTTCTACTAATGTCTTTCTTTGAGTCTATCACTCACTAACAAAAAATAAATAAATCATGAATGGTGCTGGCGAGGTACAGCCAGCTACATGTATTAAATGCACTGTGAATTGATGAATGAAGAAACTGAATATTTCTGCTTTCACGAGTCGGTGAGCTCCATTCACACATTCACCGACTGTTTTGACTGACTGAGCAAAATATGATACTTGTATAGAGATGCAGGCAAAAGAGGAGGGGACGGAAGAGAGTGAGAGTAGGTTAGCAATCTGAGAGGAAGAGAGGGGGAGAGTGGAGACGAAGAGGGGACAGAAAAGGACATTTAGATGAGACGTATTGGAGGGTACTCCTACGGAGAAAGGGATATCAGGAATACCTGCGGAGACCAAACGGAACAGTTGGATTATAATCAAATACAACTTGAGTTCAGATGAAATTGGGACGTGTAAAATATGAATAAAAAGAAAGAGAATGCATTGATTTGTAAATATAAAAAAACATGTTCACAATGGAACATAGTAAACATATCAAATGTTTAAGTCAAGAAATTGTACCATGTATAGGAACACATAAGGCACCATCCTGTTATGTTTCCTAGTTGGCAACATCCCCTCTTCTTTTAACAACAGTCTGTAAACGTCCAGGAACTGAGGAGACCAGCGCTGGAGGTTTGGGAGGGGAAAGTTGTCCCATTCTCGTCTGATGTAGGATTCTAGCTATCCATTCGTCCTGGGTCTTCTTTGCTGCACTTTTTGTTTCATGTTGCGCCAGTTGTTTCCAACTGGTGAGAGGTCTGGACTTCAGGCGGGCCGGTTCAGCACCTGGACTCTTGGATGAAGCCATGCTGTTACAATGGATGCAGTAGGTGGTTTAGTATTGTTCTGCTGAAATCTACAAGGCCTTCCCTGAATTGGGAGCATATGCCTGTATATACTAACATACATTGATGGTGTATTTCCAGATGTGTAAACTGCCCATGCCAGAGACATTAATGCACCCCCATACAGTCAGAGAGGCAGACTTGAAATGGAGCGCTGACAACAGGCTGGATGGTCCCTCACTCTCCTCTTTAGAGGACGTAGTGTCTGGTTTCTAAAACAAATTTCAAAATTTGATACCTCTGGCCCCAGAACAATTCTCTGCTTCGCCTCAGTTCACTTTAAACAAGCTTTGTCCCAGAGAAGACAGCAGCAGTTCTGGGTGATGTTCTCATGCCTCTTCTTTGCCTGATAGAGCTTTAAGCAGCATTGGTGGATGGCACGGTGAACTGTGTTTACCAACAGTGATCAGTGGAAGTGTTCCTGAGCCCATGCAGTGATGTGCTGTGCAGATGTGAAAATCTAATTTCTTGTCTGTTTTTGTACACGTAACAGTTAAACATCCTGGTGGATACAGGAAGTAGTAACTTTGCTGTGGGGGCAGCTGCTCATCCATTCCTGCGCAGATACTACCATCGATCACTGTGAGTACGGACAGGCATGTCAAATCTAGCAGCACAATTGTTAAACATGACCATGAACTGAAGAAACTAAACCTCCTGTGGTCCTTCACAGCTCTACCTCATACCGTGACCTGGGCAGGAGTGTGTACGTTCCCTACACTCAGGGTCGCTGGGAAGGAGAGCTGGGCACAGACTTGGTGTCTGTGCCGCACGGCCCGAATGCAACGCTGCGTGCCAACGTCGCCGCAATCACCCAGTCAGACCGCTTCTTCATCAATGGGTCTAACTGGGAGGGAATCCTGGGACTTGCTTATGCTGATATAGCTCGGGTAATGACATTTTATCACTTACATCTGGAGAAGTTTTTAAATAGTCTCATTTTCTCCGTGCGTGTTTGTGAGCTTAATCCACAAATCCATCATCCATGATCCATCACAACCCACTTCTACTTTGGTGTGTAGCTGCAATTAGACCTATAAACAGTCTCTATCAAAAACTGGGTTATTTTTTCTTATTATGCTCACAACATACACGGACAGACAAACGGATGGACGCTATGTCCAATGCCCCCTCTTAGCTCCACGATGGGGGACAACAAAAGAACTGTAAGAAAACTCAGGTGTTAAAGCAGAAGAAAACACATTATTTCAACATATAATTTTTTTTAACTCAGTGAAACATGGTAGTGTCAGTACCATGGTTTGAGTCTGTTGCTGAACATAGTTTAAGTTGCTCTATTATGGCTTATTTGCACTGCTCCTCATCAGCCCCAACTCTGCTCAGCTCAGCCTGGATTTGCACCTGCACTGCAGGACCGATTCTGGAGGCGTGTCCAGAATCCAAGTCCTGCTAATGAGAGTTCTGCGATGAGTTAAACTCAAAGCAGTCTGCTCCTCAGATAAATAATGTTAAATTATTATTTTATATATGAATGTTTCTGAGATGACTTCTGTTGTGACTTGGCGCTATATAAATAAACTGAATTAAATCTGATGAACCAGATCCTACAAAAACTTCTATATTTAAAATTCTATATTTTTCTTCATCATTTGATGTATTTGCGCTCATTGTGGTTTTGTTTCTTGTATACAGATTATTTTTAGCTTTGACTTAAAGTTTTAATTTAAAGTGTAATTCTTGTTTTGTGATTTGTACATCTGTGGGTTAGAATAAAGTTGAACTAAAGGCTGTATTTCTTCTTTGGTATGGTATGGTATAAAGTTTATTCATTTTAAAAAAGTACAAAACAATTCCATAACAATATAAAAAAAGAAACAAAAGATTTAAAATGAAAGGCAGCAGAAAGAAGAAAAAAATCTTATTATATCTGCCCCTTTTTTCAAACAATTATTTCAATCATAATAATTTTCAAGTAACAGAAAAAAATTAATAACTCTTTCTAATTTTTCTAATTCTAATACAAAACACACACTAAGCTACTTAATATCCATCCATCCATTATCTTTACCCGTTTATTCCATTTTTGGGTCACGGGGGTCGCTGGTGCCCATGTCCAGCAATCACTGTGCAAGGGGCGGGGTACACCCTGGACGGGTTGGAGACAGGGCCACATAGAGACAAACGAGACAAGCAACCATTCACTCTCTCACTCACACCTAGGGACAATTTAGAGTTACCAATCAGCCTAACACGCATGTTTTTGGTCTGTGGGAGGACACCGGAGTACCCGGAGAAAACCCACGAATGCACGGAGAGAACATGCAAACTCCACCCAGAAAGGCCCCTGGACCGGGGTTTGAACCAGGGACCTGCTCGCTGAGAGGCAGCAGCTCTACCAGTTGCGCCACCGTGCTTTTTTAACAATCCAGCTTTGATCTTTTTCTTAAATGTACACATTGACTTGGCAAACATGTTTGAGGAAAATATTCCTGAGAGATCCAATAATTTTGTCTTTTTATGATTTTTCAGCTGAGTTAACTTTAATTAACAGATTATTTAATAAAGTCAAAGTAAAAACAGGATTTCATGATAAAGCCATAACCGTTTATTTATTTTTATTCTTCACTGATTAAAAAAAAACGTTATTTTTTATACATAAAATGTTTTTAATAAAACGTTTCCACCCTTTGTCCCGGTCCTCCCTCCTGCCAGGGCTCGGAATCCAGCCTTTGTGAACATGCAAGGCCGGGGCTCGGGGTCCGGCCTCGCGTGCTTCAACAGGTCAGCAGCTCGTATGATCCTCCGCAGTGACTCAGCTCGCTCGAATTTTATCGTCGGTCACCAAACACCAAAAATGCCTGGACTTCAGAATTAAACACGGCGTTGTCATTATTGTTTTTAAAATCTTTAAAATAGATCCAGCCGCGGCTCCGCGTTCCGAGAAATTGCAAATGGCGGATCTGTGAAAAGTTTCTGAGATCCAGTGACTCCTCCCCCTGACCAATCAGTGACCTGCATTCACGTTTCAGTCCGGACTCAGCTCGACTCAGCTCGAACGGTCCCACCAGAAAAACGGACGAAAAGAGACTTTTACTGAATCAGCCTCAAATCAGCTAAAAATAGTAGCTAAAGTACTGGTGCAAAAGGGTTCTTTCCGTGGCAGGCTGCCCAGAGTTGGGGCTTATTAGGGGCAGTGCAAACGGGGCATTAGTGGTAAAGAGGAATCCAGCTGTTTGCTTTGGTCGTGTACCCAGTACTTTATCTGTCTTCTGTCTTCCAGCCTGATGAGACACTCGAGCCTTTCTTTGACTCCTTGGTTCGCCAGTCGTCGGTCCCCAACCTCTTCTCTCTCCAGCTGTGTGGCGCCGGCTTCACCCAGAACTACTCCCTGGGCAGCTCCACCGTCGGCGGCAGCATGGTGATTCACACGTACACAAGCACAAATCATGTCATAAGGTCTGTGAGCTGTGGTTTTAATTTTTCCCTGTGCTCTTAGATCATTGGAGGAGTGGACTCATTCCTGTATGTGGGGGAGCTTTGGTATACTCCCATCCGCAGAGAGTGGTACTATGAGGTCATTATCGTACGGATTGAGGTGAATGGACAGGACCTCAACATGGACTGTAAAGAGGTAAAAGTACATTCAGAACAAAACAAATAGAGATTTTTGTTTAATTAGTCAACGAAAAAGCTTTTTACCAGATTTTCAGTGTTGGTCTTTTAAACATTTTTCCCTGCAGTATAACTATGATAAGAGCATTGTGGACAGTGGTACCACCAACCTTCGGCTGCCAAGGAAAGTCTTCCAGGCTGCTGTCAAGGCTATTGAAGCTGCCTCCTCTGTAAGTTCATCATAAACTGCAGATCCTCGGTGGAACGGCATGCATAAGTCATGGATCAGAGTCAAAGTTTGCTATGGCTAAAAATATTCCATCCATCTTTTACCTGCGTCTTCCTTTTTGGGTATCACTGGTGTCCATATCCATGTTCTCTTCGTGCATGCGTGGGTTTTCTCCGGGTACTCCGGTTTCCTCCCACAGACCAAAAACATGCATGTTAGGCTGATTGGTAACTCTAAATTGTCCCTAGGTGTGAGTGAGAGAGTGAATGGTTGTTTGTCTCGTTTGTCTCTATGTGGCCCTGTGATGGACTTGCGACCCGTCCAGGGTGTACCCCGCCCCTCGCACAGTGATTGCTGGACATGGGCACCAGCGACCCCCGTGACCCAAAATGGAACAAGCGGGTAAAGAAAATGGATGGATGGATGGATGGATGGATGGTGTCCATATCCAGCAGTCACTGTGCAAGAGGCGGGGGACACCTTGGACAGGTCTCCAGTCCATCACAGGGACACATAGAGACAAAGGAGACAAACAACCATTCACTCTCACTCACACCTAGAGACAATTTAGAGTTACCAGTCAGCCATGCTGGTACACTCCCATCTGCAGGGAGTGGTACAATGAGCTCATTATCAATTTCCTCCCACAGACCAAAAACATCATGCATGTTTTTGGTCTGTGGGAGGAAACCGGAGTACCTGGAGAAAACCCATGCATGCACGGAGAGAACGTGTAAGCTCCACCCAGAAAGGTCCTGGGCCAGGGATTTGAACCGGCAACTCTCTCATTGAGGGACAACAGCTCTACCAACTGAGCCACCGTGCTGCCGTAAAAATGTTCCATATAACCAAAATATTTTGCGTGAAGTGAAAATTTTTCCCACCTTTCTTTAACTACGTATAGTCCCTGCATTCGCTGCTGATGTTTAATAAGCAGATATGAGAGGAACAAAAGATCAGAAGTCCTTCTGACCTGCTTTTCAGACGGAGCAGTTTCCTTCTGGGTTCTGGCTGGGGGAGCAGCTGGTATGTTGGCAGGCTGGCACCACACCGTGGCACATCTTTCCTGTCATCTCCCTCTACCTGATGAGTGAAAACCGCAACCAGTCCTTCAGAATCTCCATCCTGCCACAGGTAACAACTTTGTCTGGGTCTGAATTTGGTCACATAAAGCGACTCCTCGGTTCAACAAGGAGAAACTGTGTGTTACAAACAATGTTAAACTGTAAACATATGTACAAATTATCCAGAGACCATCAGTTTTATTTTAAAGAGATTATTGAATATGCCTAAAATTTGTTCAAATAAATTATAATTTGTAATTATAACAAGATTACATGTATAATCAGCCCATAATAATAGACCAATATGTTTTTTTCTGTGCTTTCAAACAGAAATTTTATTCATTAAAAAACTCTCCACCCATGAGGCATTTTATTTTATACATATTCTTGAAATGAAAGTATGTCCTAGAGGGGGGGGGGAAGTAAACTTCCACATTTAAACTACTTCTGGTGCATTTATTTTGAAAAGTTTGTATCTGTTTTTCTCTATTCTGACATCAAATCCCACAGAGTAGAAAACACAGCTGCCAGATGTGCTCAGTTGATTTCACAGGAGCATTTAAAGACAACAAACAAAAGCATGAAGCAGCTAGCATCAGTTTATGAACATAAATGAGTCCTCGAGGCTCAGTGAGACTAACCTATATAAATAAAGGTTGAGTGAATCACAGTGTGAGAGTTCAGTAACCCATCAACAAAAAAGCAGCCGGTGATGCTCAAAGCTCCTGATTAACATGTGCCAGCGCCCCCTACAGGACAGTTATGTCCGCGCTATAACCTCCAGCCTGTAGCTTCTCTGAGATTCTGCTGACACCACAGATTGTCAATAAAATATCAAAATTCTAGCAATATCTGAATATTATTTCAGCTGCAAAGGAAGTATCAATGTTCGTGTTTTTATATAGGGTTAATTACATTGTTTAAAGATTTGTTTTCTCTACTGCAATACTGTGAGATGGTTGTATTTATTTAATTATTTTTTTATGATAAAGTCAGAATCTCATGCTGGCCCGGATCAAACTACTTTCTACTACCCAGGAGTATATTTCTGTTTACAAGTTATCAAGAGCAACTAAATTTTACTTTACCTTGATTTAAATTAGAAAAATATTGAGTAAAGACTCAACGTTTGCCTAGATATTTTTGTTTCAGGCTGAGACAGCTCTAAAAGACTGACTAGTTTCTTGTGGAGAAAAACTATAGACAAAGAACATTATTACGCAGGTAAATAAGGTGGTGGATTTTCTCCCTAAGGAACATGAATGGTCATAAAGTTAAAGGACGATACAAAGGTTAAATAAAGTATAAACTACAGTATTTTCCGCCGTAAATGTTGCACCGCCGTATAAGTCGCATCAGTCCAATTATGTCCAGTAAAGTGGAAAAATCCATAAATATGTCGCTTCGCCGTATAAGTTGCATCTATAATGCGTCACCGCTGACAACCCAGAAATGTGGGCCAGTGTTGTGCCAAAAATGGATTGACTGCCAAATGGCGGCCACAGGAGTGTGCACGGGAGGACTTTAACAGAATTAAACAAGATTAACACCTAAAAACAATTATTTGTTTGCTCAATATTATAGCAAAGGTTGAACTATTCCTTAATAAATGCACTTTAATGGTCAAATCAGCTGAATTTCTAAAAATAGTTTCCGTTCACCCAGCTTCACCCAGTGTCACCTGCTGCTGTGCTGTGAAGCAAGCACGTGCAGCTGTACGAGCCTCCGCATTTCTTAAAAATTTAACAAGATAACCACCTAAAAACATTTATTTATTTGCTCGAAATTATAGTAAAGGTGTATCTCAGTTGATCTTTGACGGTCAAAATGTGGCAAAATGAAGCAGACGAAATGAAACGGCTTTAACATTACTACATACCCACCCGCCCATAATGATGACAGAAACACCTATTTATTTCATTTTTTTATTCAAACCCGGTGAATTCTTCATCCTCTGTGTTTCTGGCAAAGAGTTCTGCCAACTCCTGAGGTAGGTGATGTAGCGCTGTCTCCTCTTCCTCCCCGGGGCTGTCAGAGTCCTCCTCTGCGTCAGCTCCAGCTGCAGCTCCAGCTAACATCTCGGTCTTTCTGAACCCCGACTGGATCGTTTCTGTGGTGACTGAGGTCCACGCTTCATCGATCCAGCCGAGGACCTGCTGGAACGTCGCGTAGTGCATCCGTCCTGTAGCCGTGAAGCTGTGCTCTCCGTCCACTGTTCCCAAAGGCGGCGCAGAGCTGCTTTGAAGCTCCGGTTCACAGAAATGTCCAGAGGCTGCAGCACTTTTGTCAAGCTTCCCGGGATGATGGCAGGGTTGGAGTTGCACGCTTTAATTTTATCTTTAAATTGCGGCTTGATGTGCACACACATGCTGTCCTTCACCAGCAGGGCTTTTTTTGCTCTAAAAAAATCCATCTGGCCACTTCGTGTGTCTCTTTGTGGGCCACACGTTCATCATGTCTGTGTATGGCAAGCCCTTTTAACATAAAATCGAGTAGTCTGACTATCTGTAGTTACATTCTAGATATCTTAAATTGAGTTTTGACTAGGCACAATTACATTTTGACTAGTCAGAATGCTAATTTAAGATATCTTGAATTACATTCTGACTAGTCAGAATAACAATTCAAGATATCTTGAATTACATTTTGACTAGTCAGAATAACAATTCAAGATATCTTAAATGACGTCACCTGATTCGTCATTTGACGGGTCAAACATCCGTAATTACAATTCAAGATATCTCGAATGTAATTATGACTAGTCAGAATGACACTTTTAGATATCTTGAATTAAGAAATGACGCGTAGGACCCGCGGCTGCTACTTAGGTGTTCAAACAGCTGCCTGCAGAATTTTGTGTGGCTGCAATGGCGCTAGCTGTTCTGGACAACATTGTTAGAAAATGCCACAACTTCCTGTGGCTCTATTGTTAGCGTTAGACAGTGAGGAAAATGGCTCAGTCTCTGCGCTGTTGTTTTTGTTCAGTTCCTGGTTGTTCTTGTGGGGCAAGAAAACAACCGTATCTGTCCTACCATGCTTTACTGCACTCTCACAGCCTGCTTGAGTCACCATAATTAGTCAGTGTCTTACCTGAGAGAAGATTGGCTGGCTTTTGGATTTTTGTATGTGAATGTGAGGCCCATGTTTGTTTGTTTTGCAATTCTTAAGTATTATTCATATTTATTTTTGTTAATTTCATATTTATATTCCAGGTTGAAGGTGACAGTTGAGTCTCGTGTAGGTTCTGTTCCAGTGTTTACTTGTAAACAAACCCAAGTGTCTTTTCTGTGTATAAATGATGTCCTTGGGTGAAAGTCCTAAGGTGGTGTTGCAGTAAGTTTATAAAATAAAAATAACATCCATACCCAAGCTTGTCACATGTATGTAAATTGTTCTAGTGTTACGTAGTTACCAGTAGATAGTTAATGTTTTGAATTATTTTAAACATTCAATTAAAACACACTTGAGCAGCATACTGTACTGTTTTTTTATTTGTGGATTGATTCAGTTGAATTACAAGGAAAACAAGTGCAATTTACAATATCTAGTAAAAACAAAAAACGTAACTATTTAAGTTAACATTTTATAACTGTACAATATAAATTGATAGTGGATTATAGATATTTGATCAAATTATGTAATTTCAAATTAAATAAATTGGCACATTTATGTATTTTTCATGAATAACTATTTACAGTATTTACGTCTAAAAAGTTAAGTCTGGTCCTCTGGACATTCAAAAAAACAAAACAAACAAAAAAAAAAGAAGGTAGAAACGTTTCGTCTTTCATCTGAAAGGCTTCTTCAGTCTGAGGTGCTGCTCAAAGTCACTTTTATTGTCAAAAACTGCAACATGTACAGGACATACACAGGATTGAAATTACATTTCTCTCAGACCCCAGTGCAACAATAACCATTTAACATTAAAACATTTATTAAACATAAGCATAAAATGAAGTAATAAATGGTTCACACATTTACACATGGTTGTCAGCAGCAAACTGGTTGATCCACTCTGAGAAGGTGCTATTTAAGAGACTGAGCTGAATACAGCTCCTCAGACTGAGGAAGTCTCTCGGATGAGAGACGAAACATTTTTACTTTTTGTGTGTGTTTGTTTTGTTGTTTTGCTTTTTGAATGTCCAGAGGACCAGACTTAACTTTTTTAGATTTTCCTACCTGGATCATTGAGCATCATCAAGATACAGTATTTACAGTGATTCACACAGATTGAGACTGATTAAAAATATGAAGGAACAAAAGGGTGATTTATAAATTTTGTTTCTTGCTGCATTGATATAAACACATGGATGAAGGTGTTGAAGTAAAACATGTCCAGTTTAGACTTCATCTGATCAATCAATCGATCATCAATCTGATCATCACACCATACCCGTTCAACAGTTATTGTTTAGTGTACCCGCTGATCATCTGAGCTGCCAGTGCTGTCAGCAGACTCCTCCTCTGCACTTCCTCTGTAAGCAACATGGAAAGTGGAAACAGCTAGCAGTAAGCCTTGGTTGTCGAAGCTGTACCCATGCAGGACATCTGGACTGCTCCCTGGTTCTGGCCTGTACTTCATGTGACACTTGCAAAGACTGAAGGTGCATAAGTTGACCGAGTGTGGCCACAAAACACATGTTGGGAAGACTATGCAGCATCGAAGGAAGAGCAGGAGGTCTGGAGCCATGTGGTGCAGAATGATGCTACGCAGGACTTCTCAGGTGGGCACTGGTGAGACCCCAGTGAGCCCTGTGGCACAGGACCAAGTCTGGATGGTACCAGCTCCAAAGCTGAGAGACCATCTCTAGGATAAGTGTGACAAGTGGTTGGGACTCCAGCTGGTGGTTTTTCTCCCGATGCCAGGATGTCAGGATCTGGAAGTGGTCCAACAAACACACGAGTGACAGAATCACAATAAGTTTTGACAGTTTGGACATAAAAACATTAACCCAAAGGTTATACCTGTGAAAGCTCTGTAAAGCGTGGAGTGCAAACATCTTTTCACCAGTTTTGGGCTTTCGCACCACCACCACCACCACCTCGCTGGCAGGTTCAGGATGGAGTCCCTTTCAAGAAATAAACATAAAAATATGTCAAACTAAAAAATAATTAAATGTAAAGAGACAAGTGAGCAATTTTGTAGGACACAGTGGGACAGATTTGAGAGTTAAGATTTTTACTTAACTTGCAAATATTACTAATCCATAGAGGTTGAACCTGCATTTATTAATTACCTACAAAAACAAACAATTCTAAACAAGTTAGGAGAGAAAAATATATTTGACACAAGTAATATTGAGACTATGACAAATTTCACATGGCACTAATAATATACAGGTGGGAAAGTTATTACAGTTATTGTGATGAGAATCATAACCATCAAATAATGTAACAGAAAAGAATGTGTTCCACTCTTATTTTATTTTTTTTACCTGTGTTCTTTGTAAATCTCTTGTGCGGGCCAGTGCAGGAGGACCAGTTGGCAGCTGGAGTTGGGAGTAGTGGGCAGTCTGGTAAAAAAAAAAAGTGCAACTACATGGTTACAAAAACCTTTACCAGCTGTGCACTTCTACAGAAATAAGCCAACATTTCTTTTTTCAACACCCAGTGAGATCTAAAATAGATCTGATTTTAGCACACACACACACATATATATAATTAATACTTGTTATAACATATTTAGCTTTAAACAAGTAATAGATTGTAGATTGATTCACTTAACACATCACCTTACATACTGTATACACAGCACGCTACATACACACATAAACATATGTTTGGCACTAATGGAACCTCATAAAAATATAATAAAAATTTTTATATCATGTCTGTCTCAAACACTCCAAATAATGTAGCACACTAAATTAAGCTTCTTTATTACGATGTTTATGCGCTTCATATGTTGTAGCTAACGGTTAGCTTGCTAAGCTACGTCTTTTCTTACCTTGACAGCTGTGGAGATTTTCTTCATGGAAAAACTTTTGTCCTTTCAAGTTTATTAGTTCGAGAATTCACCGCTGCGATTTCCTCCTCAGCAGCGAAAGAAAAGATTGGCAAATTAAGCAAAGATGTTGAAAAGAGAGACATTTCTCCTCAGTGCAAAGACTCGCAAAGCAGGAAGTGTCGGTTTCCGGTTGTCGTGAAAAAGACGTCGCAAAAAAACTCTTCTTGTTTCAGATACAATAAATAATCCGAGCTGCCGCGCTAAAAATCATGTTAAAAATACGAGCGTTGTGTTGGACTGACCTGATTTTGCAGATTATAAAATAAAAAGGCTACAATGCTTTATGATTTTTCCGCCAAAATGCTACGTAAATCTGTGACGTTTTGACTAGTCAGAATAACAATTCAAGATATCTTGAATGTCATTCTGACTAGTCAAAATGTGAATTCAAGATATCTTGAATAGAAAAGCCGTCTACATGATAAAATATTCAAGATATCTTGAATTCATTTTGAGATATCTTAAAAGGAATTTTGACTAGTCATAAGTACAGTTCTAGATATCTGTAAGTTAGTTTTGCCTAGTCGTTATTTGCTTTCAAGATATCTACAATTTAATTTGCACTAGTCAAAACTTCATTTTTGATATCTACAAATACATTTAAGATATCTTGAATAATGACGTAATTTAAGATATCTTTAATTGTAATTATGACTAGTCAGAACTAAAAGTGAGATATCTTGAAAGCAAATAATGACTAGTCAAAATTAACTTAGAGATATCTAGAACTGTATTTTTGACTAGTCAAAATTCAGTTCAAGATATCTTGAATTGAAGCCTCCATACAACTCAATGGTAAATCTGACGTCATTATGACTAGTCAGAATGTAATTAGAGATATCTTAAATAAGTATTTTGACTAGTCAAAATGCAATTCAAGATATCTTAAATAACCAATATGTCTAGTCAAAACTCAGTTTCAGATATCTGGAATGTAAGCGTTGTGAATCCTATTTTATGTTAAAAGGGCTTGCCATAGTCTGTGTCCATCCACCCCTTCTTATTAACTGTCACAACCACGCAAGGGGAAGCTCCTCCTTCAGCATGGTTTTATGCCTACAGGTATACCGGTAGTCGTCAAAAGCCTAGAGGGTCCTCTAGCGCCCATAGTGGCCAAAAGTGGTACTGCATTTTTTTTCAGTCAGAATGAATAGAAACGATCATATCTCAGCCAAAAATTAGTCTAAAAATATGGGAAAAAATCCATAAATACGTCGCTTCGCCATATAAGTCACAGGGCATGAAAATTAGGCAAAAAACTGACATACAATGAAAAATACGGTATAAGAAATACATCCCTGCAGAGTGTTTATGAATGCCTTCTCAAAGTTTTTGCATGATTCTTTTGCAGCTTATAATACTTTACTTACCCATTTATAAGAAACAGCTATTTTATACATCAGCCATTTTATGAATATTTTTATTTCTTGTGTGCAGCAATACCTGCGTCCAGTGGAGGATGTGGCCTCTGTGCAGGAGGACTGCTACAAGTTTGCTGTGTCTCAGTCCAGCACCGGCACCGTGATGGGAGCTGTCATCATGGAGGGCTTCTACGTCGTGTTTGACCGAGAGAACAAACGCATCGGCTTTGCTGTCAGCACTTGCCATGGTGAGGATAACCGCACAGACGGATGAAGGGAAAAGAGACGAAATAACTGAAGAAGCTTAATTTTAAGTAAAAATGTAACATGAACAAAGAGTCAAAAATGACTGATGAAACCTGCCAAAGAAACTGAAACTGAGTTGTTAATGCTAAGAGAAGCAGAACACTAACTAAATGCTACAAGGTTATAAGGAAGCTAGAAATAGGAAAACTTTAGCTAGGCTACCTAAATATGTAGTAAAAGTGCAGCTAAACACTTGCAGAAAGAAGCAAAACACCATCTAAACGCTAAAAGGAGCAAAACACTATCTAGAAATGCTAAAACACTAGCTTAAAGGATAGCTAATGATGTAAAACTGTAGCTAATAACTAAAGGTAGCAAAACACTAGCTAAATATGTAGTAAAAGTGTATCTAAAAGTAGCAAAACTCACTAAAAGAAGAACAACACAATCTAAAGATAGTAAAACATTAGCTAAGTAGGTAGTAAAAGATCAAAAGGCATACAACGAAAAAACAAAAGTCACAGCACTCATCTGAATGATCTGAACGTTTTGATAAATGAATAAATTAATATTATATTACTTAATAAAGTAGTGTTATTGTAAAACGCATAAACCAAAACTGTAAAACCAAACTGAAGCAGTATTCGCACTCGTACGTTTATGGTGCAAAAACAGAACAAACATGAAGGAAAAGAATAAAATAAGATAGAACTTTACTGATCAGGCAGGAATACAGAAATTCAACAAAACTAAACCTGTTTAGCGTTTCTGTAGAGCACATTATCTCTGTTTACTTTAAAGCTGTGCTTCCTGCACTCCCTCTCACAGTGCACGATGAATTTCGCACCGCCTCGGTCGAGGGCCCGTTCCACGGCGTCGACCTGGAGGACTGTGGCTACAACATCCCTCAGACAGACGAGTCCACGCTGATGACCATCGCCTACATCATGGCAGGGATCTGTGCGCTCTTCATGCTGCCTCTGTGTCTCATGGTGTGTCAGTGGCGCTTCGTTCGCTGCCTCCACCCACACGGGGACTTTGCAGACGACATATCGCTCCTAAAATGACGGGAAGCGGTTGCAGGCTGTTGACACGTACAGGCGAATAGCCGGACCGAGTTGACATTCGCTGAATGGGACGTTACAAAAAGACGCTGCTGTCATCAAGTTGTTTGCGAGGGGAACTAGAGCCATCATGAACTTGCCGGGACAAGAAGAGGTGCTGCTGTCGGCGCCTGTTTAAGCTACTGGACCTGTGCTCATCAGCATGGAGTGAAATGCAAAACTAACTGTTCTTTCTATGAATAAACCTCACAGATACATCAGATTTGGAAAGATGGTTGTACTTTCCCCCCATTCTTCAAACCATCGTGTACTTGCTACAGGTTGGTTTGGAAGGTTGGGGGGACGTCTATATAAGGAACCAATCTGGAAGTGTTTAGCTCTGGTATAATTTGAGTATAAGAACGTGGTTATACTGTACGTGTGTTTGTGTCTGGAGTGAATGAACCAAGCTGCACCTCTAATAATATGAAAATAAGAGAATGATACAAGACAAATATTACACTTTGTTGCACATGTCTATGATGAACCCCACAAAGAAAAAGAAGTATGCAGAAGGAGGCTGCTTTGTAAACTTATTGAAAATACAAAATTGTTTTTGCTTGTGTGAAATGGTGACTGCTGATCGGTCATCATCAGATGTCACTTTTATCTTCTCATCCTGATAACGTACATGTATCTGCTGTACATAAAAGTGTTCATTTAAAGTCTTTATTTGCACAGAACACAGTGCTCGCTCAGTTGCACGTGTAACACATCAGACAAACCTAACAGGGCTTCTGTCACACACAAACAGCCTAACTTGCTGTTTAACTGGGACCATATATGCTCTGGAAAGGAAACCAGCCCAAAGTATGATGGAGTTTGTGTTGTCTGAAGAAGCTGTAAATAGATTAACTAACTGGATATTTATGTGTCAGGTTCTGACAGCGTTGTCGACCCAATAAAGTACGTATTGTAACTGTAAACTGATTGTTCCTTTCTTTCAGCCAAATGGAAAAACACTAAGTTTAAAGCAGAACAACTCGCAGTCAGACTTGTCTTCTCTGGTTTTTAAGACAGCCCAAATTATTTAGAACTTCATTAATGAAAATAATACCCTTCAACCAGGTTGCTGCTTTTAATTAATGGAATAGGACAAGTGTCCATGACTTTACATGGTGACTCATCTTTGGTAGTTAACTGAGCAGATCAACTTCTGCATGCAAATACTGTACATTTATCTTTAGCTGGTTTCTTAACATTTGGTCTTAACCATTGACTGCAAATTCTGTTGTTTTTCTCATTTCTTTTGTTGTCCATCCATTATTATATCCATTATCCTTACCCGCTTCTTCCTTTCTGTGTCACGGGGGTCACTAGCGTCCATGTCCAGAAGTCTGTGCGAGAGATGGGGGACACCCTAGACAGGCTGCAAGTCCACCACTGGGACAGAGACAAAAGAGACAACTGTTCACTCTCTCACTCACACCTAGGGACAATTTAGTTACCAATCAGCTTATTAGGCATGTTTTTGGTTTGTTTTGAGTACCTGGAGAAAACCCATGCATACACAGAGAGAACATGCAAACTCCACCCAGAAAGACCCCTGTGCCTTGGCTGGGATTCAATTCGACCACCTTCTTACTGAGAGGCAACAGCTCTACCAACTGAGCCACCGTACCCATTTTGACATTTTGAAGACGCACATTAATTTGAACTAAGTACATTGTTCTTCTGCAGCTTTTTTTACTTTGCCATTGCTTGCTACAACTTTGAGGCACTAATTAATTAGAACCCCTGCAATATTTAAAAATAGAAATTTACTTAGATGTTTAATCAATCTTATGGTCTGGAAAAACTTTTGAACTCAAACAGATCAAGGTGTGGCCTTTGCTCTCCTGTGTTTACTATCCTGGGGAGCCAATCAGATTTTGCGCTCCACGTTTGCGTATGACGTATTACGTCGCTATCAGCGGCAGCGCTTGTGATTTACGGAAATGAACTAAAGCTCGGGAGATATCGCTCGAAATATTTAGTCGTTACCACTCGTGAGAAAGCCATATTTCAGTGGAAACGTGAGTTGCGTTTGTGTTGTTGTTGTGTAAAATATAATCTTTATATTTTTTGTTCGACCTTGTTTATTTTACATGTATAATCTTAATCGGTGCCGTTATGACAGTCGCTATTTTGAAAGCTAACAACCGCTGCGGGTGAAACTCGAGCCCTTCTTGTTTTTTATTAGTCTGACGTTTTTCGTACTCGTCGTTAATGTAAAACGATTTGTATTTCCAGCGTAGATGAAGTAGGTTTTAGGTCGTTTTAAAGAATCTTAATTAAAAGCCAAAACATGGTTTAATTAAGCTAGCTTACATGCAAAATACAAAACTAAACCGAAAGCTAACGTCACGTGCGAGCTGAAAAAAAAAAACGCTGCTGTCCGTAAAGAAAGGGCTTTTAAAGAACAATTTAACAGTTTTAAATGAGTGGTACTGATAATATGACATTATTCACACGCAGTTAAATAAGTTTATAAGCTTTAATAATGTGGTCAGAGGGCATGGGTGCTGTCTGTGGGACAGTTGAACTTCCAGAAGGCTTTGTCGTTTAGTGCCAGTGGTAACGGTTATTTAACAAAGAAAACACAATTCAGTGCCATAGTTCACACACACACACACACACACACACACACACACACACACACACACAC